AAGTTGGGATAAGCAAAATTTCCCAAAAACTTTGAAAAATAAGTGACTCTAAAAAGGTAAAAACAGTGGGGGAAAAGTTTTATGGTTTAGACTTTTGTTCATCTGTCTATCTACTGCACAAAATCTTTAGTTACACTCTTACTTCAGGAAATAGATCTTTAGTACTTCATTATTGGTTTTTTTTTTTTTTTTTTTTAGAACTTTCTTGCATAGATAAAAAAGGTGTTTCTTGACTTTTCTTGATTACCAAAAATCAAGTTTTTGTTTGAAAAGGAATATAAACAAGTGAAGAGAGTTTATAGGAACTTTTGAAGTTATTTTTTAAGTTGTTTTAAGAAAAGTAATAAGATTTTATTAGTAGAAAAGCATAAAAATTTTTTGTGAATGTCTTTTTTATATATTGTCAAGGGATCAATGAAAAAAGTTTTTTTATATAATTAATTTTACTTATTATAAATTTTTATATGCAATATAATATTTGATGCTATTTTTTTTTTATCTGTGGTCAGGTCAGCACCATGTGTTTATTAATTACTATAAAAACTAATATAGATAAATAGGATAATTGTATTATATTAAACTAAATTTCAACTAATACATTTATTAATGGTTTTTGATTTTCAAAAGAGCTTTAGTCTCTAAGTATAATCTTGAAAACTATATTTTATTTTGTAGTAGATTTTGGATGAATATCCTTCTAATTTATTTATTATTGCTAGCAGATTGTCATTATTTTTTATCTTCCAAGGAATTGATTTTAAAAATTACAAAAGAAAAAAAAAAAATAGATATTTAAAAATGCATAAATATATTATATAAAAAAGAAAAAAAAAATATGTGTTTCATATTCTCCAAAGGATCTCTATTGGAAATCTCTTCTTATTAGAAGTTAATTCTTCTGAAATATTCTTTTTCTTCTTAATATTTAAAAAACTTATCCATATGTGATTTTTATTATTTTCTTATAATTATTTGAGAAACTTATCACCTATTCAAATTCAGTATCTTGCTCATTACTTCATTTTTTTTTGGTCTTGATTTTGTATCCACTTATACAGAAAGAATAATTGATAATAGATCTTAGATTCTTATGTGATTTTTCAATCATATTATATAACTCTCAATATCTTTCAACAGCTATATCTAATTAAAAGAATTTTACTAATATTTATCTTGATTGCAATATCATAATACAATGTCTGGAAAAATATATTTTCCATTCTAAAAAAGTGCAATATTTTACATTCCTCTGATTCTCAGTTTTATATTTTGACTGAAATAAGAAAATAACTTCTTTTATGTATTTTGCCTAACTGAAATAATAAGAAGTTGAAAATCTTGGCTTGAACAAATAATCTTCCTTTTATCATTTAAAGAATTTAGTGCCTATTCTAATAGCCTCATATTTTCTTTGTTTCAGTTATACTTCATTTGAAAAAATGGAGGAGTCTAACTCTTAATTTCTCATTCTTTTATAATGACATTATTAGAACACATAATATAATTAGTAGAAGCTTATTTATATTTTGTTATTAATATGTTTCATATTGATCAATTATTTTTAACAAAAGCTATGTCAATTTTGTTTATTTCAAAATTATTTGCCTATCTATTTACTATATAAGATTTCTAGTTATACACTTGTTGCAACCAATAGGTTGTCAATACTTCACTATTGATTTTTCTTTCTTTTAGAATTTTCTTGCTATAGGTAAAAAAAGTTATTTCTTGATTTTTCTTAGTTACTGAAAGTTAAGTTTTTATTTGAAAAGGAATATAAGCAAGAAAGAAAAATAGAAATAGATTTTTGAAATTATCCTTTAAGTTGTTTTAAAAAAAGTAGTAAGACTTTAATTCAAAAATATAAAATTTTTTGTAAATGTCTTTTTTGTATATTATTAAAAGATTAGCAGAAAAAGTTTTTTATAAGATTTGATATTATAATTATTATTATTTTTTTTTAATCCCATGATCAGGCCAGTATTGTGTGTTTATTAATCATTAAGAAAACTGATTGAGATACATAAGACAATTATATTATGGTTAAACTAAAAGACTGGTACTAATACACTTATCAATGGCTTTCAATTCTCAAAAGAGCTTCAGCCTCTAAGTGCAACCTTGGAAACAATATTTTACTCTAAACTAAATTTTGGGTAAAGACTCTCTTAACCTACCCATCATTGCCAGTAGGTTGTCATTGCTTATTATTCTCCAAAAAACTAAATTCAAAAAACTACAAAAGGGAAAAGAAAAAATAAAAGAAAAGGAGATATTTAAAAATATGTAAACACACTATATAAAAATGAAAAGAAAAAAAAAGAAATTTAAAATTGCTTCATATCCTTCAAAGGATCTTTGCTAGAAATCTTTTCTCATTAGGAATTAATCCTTTTGGAATATTTTTCTTCTTCATGATTATCTGAGGAACTTATTCATTTGTGCTCTTAATTATTTTCTTGTAATCGTTTGAGATATTTATCGTCTACTCAGATCCAGTATCTTGCTCAATGCTTCCTTTTTTTTTATCTTGATTTTGTATTCACCCACACAGAACAGAATGGCTAGTAGTAGATTTTGGATTCTTATATAGCTTTTTAATTTTATTGTGTAACTTCTAATATTTTTCAGCAACCACATCTAATTAAGGAATTTTACTGATATATATTTTCCATTATTCAAAAAATCAGATTCCCAATAATCTTTTTGTCTTGCAATGATGGGAGGATCTTACAGAGTATGAGAATTCTCGTCAATTACAATATCATTACATAATATCTGAAAAAATGCATTTTCAATTCTAGATAAGGGCAGTATTTTATGTTCTTTTACTTTTTGATCTTATAGCCTAACCGGGATAAGGAAATAATCTCCTTTATATACTTTGTCTAACCGAGGTGATAAGAAGTTAAAGGCTTTGGCTTGAACAAATAACTACTTTTTCACCATCTAGGAAATTTAGTGCCCATTCTAATGGTCTCATGATTTTTTTGCTTCAGTTAAATTTTATTTGGAGGAGTAGAGAAGTTCATATTCTTGATTTCTCTTTCTATTACAAATGATATTATCAGAACACATGAGATGATCAATAGGAGCTTGTTTACATTCAGTTATTAACATGTTTCATGTCAATCAATCAGATACCAGGTGACATTGTGCTATCAAAAATTCAGGATTAAACTGAGGTAAGCAAAATTCCTTAAGAAAATTGTGAAAATCAGTAAACACTTTAAGAGGGAATAAGATAGTATGTGAGAAGGTGAAAAATAAACCTTCCTCTACCAACAGAACCTCTATTTCTTGTCACTTCTAGTTCTGTGAGGTGACACTCCACTTGTCAGTTCTTTTACTTCCTAGAATCTTTTTGTCTTTAGTAGAGGAAGTACATACTTGAGTCTTTCAGGCCACTAGAGGCTCAAGTTTTTATTCAAAGAAGTTTATGAACAAGTAAGGAAGGGTAGAAGAGATAAATGAAAACAAGCTTCAAGTTGTTTTAATGAAAGTATAAAGATTTTATTAACAAGGAAATATAAAACTTCTTGTGAACATCTTTTTTGTGTATGATTAGAGGATCAATAGAAAGAGTGTTTTTTTATTATTATAAGATTTGATATTATTTTTCTTTAAAGTTTTTATTAAAGTATATTAAATGTAAAAATTTGTATTTTTTATAAAATTTTAATAATAATTAAGTATTTTGTTAATTTTTTTTTTTTTTGATAATAAATTTGCTTTATATAGAATTTGATATTTGAGATACTATTCTTTTTTTTTTTTTTTTTTAACCTGCAATCATTTAGATTCATTATTTTTTTTTCTGATTTTTCTTTTGTGAAATTTTTTTTACAATTCATTTTCATACCATTTCTTACTTAAATAAATAAAAAACACAAAAAGAAAAATATACATACTGTATGTAACCAAAGCTTTATTACTTTATTATTATGATCAAAACTTTCGTGAGTATAAAGTAATTTTGCAAATCGCCCTAATGCTGTGTTACCCGTCTGTACAGTAGACACAGTGTATACCAGCTTCTCTCGGTTTTCATAACTTTATTAATAATGCAATACAATAATTCTATCTCATGAGAAAAGAATGACGAAATAATACGCACAATTTAATCATGTGGCATGATTCATTTTTACATTACGCAATTGAAGGCATAAATAAAATCGTATACTTAACCTTCCCTTCAAAAAATAAAAGAATTCGAATGATGTCGCGGCTAATATTTCTTGCAAGTTTTATTATTCATCTTATCCTCGCACTCCCGCAGTATGTCATACACGAAAAAGGTCAACCATATTACGCCGATCATCTAAAACAAATGTATCATAATTATTGGACGAAAGTTGTGATTACGGCTATGTTGGTGTTGTTGGGCGGACTATTTGCTGGTAAAACATCATAAGAAACACTTGAACTTTGTCGATCTATCTTAATATGCTTTTATTAATTAATATTTTTAAGGATTGACTCTCGGCCTGGTAAAAAAAAAAAAAAAAAAAAAAAAAAAAAGAGGTTTTTTAAGTGATAATGAGGGTTATCTAATTGCCGATTGATCATTGTTTATTCTAGATGAGTCTTGATGAAACGAACCTCCATATTCTCGCTAGTTCAGGTGATCACGCTCAACGGTACGTCGTTTGGGATGGATTACGGACGCATAAGAATAGTCTGAAGTAATAAAAATCCCTTTTCTTTTTGATTTCATTCAGCGAATACGCTAGAAAAATACAACCGATACGAAAAAATGGTCATTTGCTTCTGGTCACCCTTCTACTTAACAACGTATTGGTCAACGAAACTTTGCCGATCGTCATGGATGACGTTTTAGGGGGGCGCGGAATTATGGCAATCGTGGTTTCCAGCATACTTATCGTGTTATTCGGTGAAATCATTCCGCAAGCTGTGTGCTCTAGATATGGACTGGCCATAGGAGCTTTCTTTGCATGGTAGCGTTTTAAGCATACGCATAATGTCCACCGTATAAATAAATCAAAGTAAACATGCACTGCACATCTTTTGATAGGCCTGTGAGAGTGATGATTTTCTTGACCGTAAGTAGTGTGTAAACTGTTTACTATCATATCATATCTTTTCCGGATTTTAACGCGAATGATACCTATACATAGTTCATTGTTGGATACCCCATAGCAAAATTGTTGGATTTAATTCTTGGGAGAGATCACGGAATCATCTATCGTCGTGCCGGTAATAATTTATTCATTTTTTCTTTGACAATTTAACAAGTTGATACAATATTGTTTCTCGGAAGCACAGAACTGAAAGAATTGATAATGTATCATGGGACGTCAACCGAACATGGAGGTGACCTGGTTACCGATAGTGTCAAAATTATACGCGGTGCACTTGATTTTCAGGATAAAGTGGCTGGAGGTGCAATGACGCCAATAGAAAATGTAAATAAACCGAATTTTCTTTGCACTTCAAAATTCAATAATCTAGTTTCCTACCGTTATAGCGCCCACCTTTCTCTCTAGGCATTTATGATATCGATGGATTGTATCATGGATAGAAACACCTTGAAGAAGATTTACTTAACTGGGCACTCTCGTATCCCCGTGTATGAGGGTTCGCGCGAGAACATCTTGGGAGTTTTGTTGGTTAAGGTGAATAGTGAAGTCTACTTGAGAAACTCGTCGGAAATCACGGGTCCATTAATGTTATGTTCCTTGCTTTCAATAATAAAGTCCTTGGTAATGTATAACCCAGATGAAGATCTTCCATTGAAAAAATTTCGCATAAACGCTATTCCCAAGATTCCTGCAGAAATGCCGCTATTTGATATCCTCAACATATTTCGAGAAGGTCGAAGTCACATGGCAGTTGTGTGCAGAAGCGAAGACTCGAAGCCAATTGGGATCATCACATTGGAGGATGTCCTCGAGGAATTAATACAAGAAGAAATTTATGACGAATCTGACAAGCGGGTAGGGTTGGCAGTAAGATTCGTAACCGGGGATCAACTGATTTTGGCTTCAAAGACGCGCTCAAACAATAACTACCATCAGCGGCAGAAAAATAAATTCAAGAGTCCGCCGTTGGTGAGGTGTAATTCAGAACCAGCGGATGTCACTCGGTCAATTGAAAATTGCGGAATCTTGAAACCTAATGATCATACCGGTAAAGACTTGATCGTATTCGAAGAAACTGTTGGTTTGCTTTCAACGACCCCGACAGAAATGTCAAATCAAGTACGCCCAAATGGAAGTTGACAAGTTGTTAAAAAAAAAAAAAAAAAAATGCACTCGATTACTTTACTTTCAAAAAGATTATAAGCGACACCTTATGCACAAAAACGCGCATTTATTACTATTGCGGAGGTAGTAATGAAATCATGCTGTCATGATCAATACGAAGAATTTGGTCTGCAGTAAGATAACAAGTTTATTAAAAAAGTAAAAAGACAATTAAACAAGAGAATTAAATAGTCACCGAGCTAACTAATAAAAAGTATTATCTATGGTCATTTGTTCGCTTTTCTTAATAAATCCTGCATGATATTTTTTTACATAACACAAGAGCCTTTCAAGCTTCTCAACTCCTTCCTTGTTAATCGAGGTTTTGTCTTTCACTACGGCCTTGACATTCATTAAACTAGATCTATAGCTTGACAATAATCGATTTATTTCATGCAAGCCGTTGGCCGTCCGATTCAACATGTTCAATATTTCCTCGGATTGTCCCAAGAGTTTCGTGGCTTCCTCATAATCGGGGCTGCTCTTGGAATTAGATTCAAGAAATGGCAAAATCCCCATAAGCATGAATTTCCACGATGAACCAATAAAACTTGCTGCTTCCCTTTTTCCCTTTATTAAAATTTTTTCCGCGAATCTTCTTCGCTTCTCTGCATCTTTTATGGAATCCATTGTTGTTTTTAATATCTCTTCGAAAGAACAAATCTGTGTCTTTATTTCGTCAAGTCTCTCGCTGACATATGATGCATAGTCACCTAAAAATATTTGACCAAGTAAACCCGGGTTTAACTTATCCAGAATCAGCTTGATTCGGGATTCCAATACCCAAAACATCATGTCGCCCTCTCTATACATATCCTCAAAAGCCGTCCCGGCCTCGAATATCTTTTGACTAAATTCATGTAAACTCTCGGCGATACTGGCGCCGTTGATCCTGAATGCTGGGCTATTCTCAATAAGGTTTGCAAATTGTCTAAAAAGAACCGTGCCCTCCATTATTGAGTTTGTGGCTGGCACATAAATGTATGCATATTTACTTAGAGACAACGGGATGTTTTTTTTGCATGAACTCAAAGGGTGCAACACTTACGAGGCAAATCCACGTTTTTTATTCCATTCAAGAAATTTTCAGTTGAATTTGTGATATCATCCACGAAATCCTAGGATGTGAATCGCAGTTAAAAAACATGATCAAGCCGTTGCACTAAATCTGAGAACTAATGTACCCTCATACTTTTCGGTGTTCATGATACGGTTCCTATCATTGAATCAATTATTAAATGCAAATTATGTAACAATAAATCGAGGATTTAATAATAGTACTTGCCTTTTTGTATAGATACACCGATAAAACTACTACCGTAATTAACATCACGGCTAATAAGGGTCCAAGCTTTTTCAGTGACATGGACCGTAAAGAATCGGTTACCCAGCGGAAATTTGATAGGGTTTTTTTCGTAGAAGTGTTTCCTTCAGCTATCGAATGAGGATTCGACGGTTCTCTGTTTGCAGAGGTGCTTCCTTCGGTACTAGTAGTAGCCAAAGGCTGACGCCTTCTCAACGTTGATCCAGTGATGACATCGTTCAAATCGGTAATGTAAAAAATTAGTATTAATGATGGCACAATTGAATTGTGTTGTATCATCTCGAATTGTGATTCGGTTTGTTTTACCTGTATCAGTTACGCTTGGATGGCTTCCATCAGAAATAGAGGATTCATCTTCTTGCTCAGATCTCGCGATACCTTAAGTCCCGGAAGATTAACGTCGCGCATTTAGTTTTGCACATATTATGAAAAGAGCAATGTGCATAATAAGATCGATCTGACGAGATACCGTCTCTGACATTTTTATCTTCTGATTCTTCGCTCACGACCACTTGTGAAGGCTGATCGTTTGTTTGTGTTTTTTGCGAGTGCCATATTTCTACCAATTGAACCATTTCAAATTAACGAATGTCACGTTAACGTTATCCCAACCGTTCGTCGGTATCGTCCTAGTTCGCTCGTGCTGTATGCGCAACGAAAAGTGCACATTGTATAAAAATTTTTATCTTACCTTCGTTTACACATGAGATTTTATTCTTGATTCCCCCATTTTTCTAGATATTCGTGATCATAAAACATTGACGACGGTGAACTGTCTCCCGAGTGCATGCGC